CCCCAAAACCCCAAAACCCCAAAACCCCGTCAGAGTGAAATCTTGATAATGCAGATTTTATGAATCTATTTAATAATTGTTAATTAAAAAATATCATTATCATGGCGAACAAATTCGTTTGTGGATGCGTAACCACTGGTATACTCCTACTTATTGGCCTCATCATTCTATTCTTCTCAGCTGGAACAGTAGAGCCAATCTAATACGGAATTAAGTATAATAAATTCTCAAAGAATGTTGAAAGCGATGATGTCTACAGCGGAGGCTGGTATTTGATTGGACCCTTCAACTCCTTCATTCAGTTCCCCAAGACTCAAGTCAACATCGACTTTTCTGATCTTCCAGGCTCCAAATCCCCAGGGTTCTCAACTCTCACTGGTGGATCAACTATCACTCTTCACTTCTCATTCTAGTACCAACTCATCAAGGATAAAATTCCTCTACTTTACAAGTTGTACGCTCAAAGATACGAGGAAAACTTTATGAGAGTAGCTAGAGGTGCTATCTCAGCCGTTGTTTCAAACCTAACAATTGAATCATATTTCAGTCAAAGACAATAAGTTGGAGAGTTGATGAGACAGAGACTTGATAGCGATCTACGTGACTCCTTTGCCACATGCACTGGTGTTCAGATTATTAGAATTGATCTCCCAAAACAACAAGATGATAAACTCGTTGATGTCCAAGTCTCCGAGCAACTCACTAGTCAAAGATAATTCGCTCAACAAGCTGAGGCTGTTAACAAGAACATTGAAGTCGATACCTCAATTTCACAGAGTGTTATTAAAAACATTGAAGCTGAGTCTAGAGCTTCGGCCATTTCCATTACTAGTGCTGCTGAGGCTGAAAACCAAAAGGCTTTGATCTAGTCAAAGGCTACTGCTTATAGTTCTATCTAAGAAATTACAGGCTTGACACCTAGTGACAATTTAATGGACTTCATCTATTACACCAACCTCCTAAACAATAGAAACTCAACCATTTTAGTTGGCATCGATGATGCTCAAATATCTGTGCTTAAGGGATCCGGAAAGGGTTATTGAAATGCATACTTCTCGCTCACCAAATCATTGCCTATCTCTTAATGCTTGCATTAATATAGATTTATTTCTAATAATCTTTAATCAATTCATTCTAAGCTTTGATCTCAATATATTTTTACCCAAGGGGTTTTGGGGTTTTGGGGTTTTGGGGTTTTGGGG